CCCCCCCCCCCCCCCCCCCCCCGTACGAGGGACCCATTGGCCACCCATGCCTAACACGTGTCTATCTTCGAGGTTGTTGGTGAGAAACCTCGTCATCTCAGTTAGTGAAACCTTTTCCCATTTTCCACGTGTCATGCATGCACGGTTTTAATTAATACCAAAATAAAGTCCTAATATTTACCATTTCCCCGATTATTCCCATTTAAAAAAAAAAAATCCTAAATTGTAAGGGCAAAAGAAAAAAACAAGAAACTTTGATACTTACTTGCTACGGAGAAGAGGGTAGATCAACATGGGCCCACCAACGCCATCCTTTAACATGTTCTTGAACACAACTTGATCGAACTCATGAACATTGGACTTTGAGACGAACATGTTGAGCCAAGGGTGTGGCGACTCCCAAACGTCATTGGCCTTGGCCTCTTCCTCCGCACGCTTCACACGTAGGAGGAAATCCGTGTAGGTGACGTCCACCTGGAACCGCAGGTGCTCCACGAATCCCAGCCTCCGCAGAAGACTATTCACGGCCTGCAAATTTTTTTTTTTTATTGCACCACCAAGGTAAAAAGCGTTAAAAACAGGGGGTATTTACGTCAGTTGGGAACAAAGAGAGACATACATTCATAATTTGCAGATTCCAGAAAATGATGGCTTTTTGGCCATTTGTGGAACTGCGGGGACCATAGCGTCAGCAAAATCTCAATTATCAGTGCTAACAGCAGTCACGGGTGTGTCATTACCAGTTTGTCCCCGAGGTAAGCCAAAAATTACGAAAGTGACTCTTCTAGAAAACAACGGGAAACTGGAAACTCTCAAGTACAGATCACACTCGTAATTAAGAACTAATGTTGTGGGCTTTTAGAAGCCTTGCGTTGTCAGAAAATCCAATGGAAGATGCATTATACCGTATAGTCAGTTTCAAGTGTATTATTTTCTTTTAAAAAATAGTCAGTTTCAAGTTGAACCAAGTCATGAACTGAACCCAATAAATTTATTTTTTATAAAGAATATATATTTTAAAAAATTTGTGATGAATGCTTAAAAACTCCATGTCATGATGTTGAGGAGGAAATGAATAAGCCGTCCTCCATCGACGAGCTTCATACACGTGTAAGCTAGTTCAGATTGTTTTGACTTTTTTACTGTCCGGCCAGGGACAGTTTGGGGTGGGACCCACCCATTTCACTGTCAAAATCTTCACGGCCAGATAGACGCACTTGGCAAAACCACCTAGGTCAAAACCCCGTCGCAAACTCGGATCAAAGCCTCAAACAGGGCCCGCCGAAACTGCCACCTCACGAGTCACGACGGCAGTTTCTCTCCATATCTTAAAGCCGATGACGCAAACTCACTCACTCCTAGATCCAACGGCTACTTAAATAGGGCGCAAGTTAATTGCTGTGGGGCACGCACGTACAGGAATATTAAAAATTATAAATTTATAAAAAAAAAAAAAAAAAACAGAGAGAGAGAGTTACCGTATCAATTGAGGGGCGGTCAGTGTTGCGGTAGTGAAGAGCCAGCTCGAGACAGTAAAGAACCGAACCGGATCTCGGCGGCAACCGACTCGGGTTGAATGTCTGGTCCGGACTCAACGGAACCGTTGGTCTTCCAGTTGACGGATTGTCGTTGTTGGAGAACACGAAGCCTTCCACGTAATCAAACGACTTGCCCTCTGGCTGAGTCACAAGAAATTCGGCGTCCCGAGTGAAGTCCTCGAACTCGGCGTACACCACCCTTATCCATCTCACCTAATCAAAATAAACAAAAGAAGAAGAATTTAGCGGACAACATAAACGTGCTTGAGGAAAAAATAGAAAGAGGAATTTCGGAATTCTTGTTTAATTACTCAGCTCACCATATCCGGAGCTGGCTGTAGCAGAACCCTAGCTCTGGTGATAATACCGAACTGGCCGAGGCCTCCGAGGACGGAGAAAAATAGGTCGGAGTTTTCGGTTTCGGAGCAGACGAGAGTTTCGCCTTTTCCTGTTACGACCTCCAATTCCGTTACATTTGACGTCTGCGGACCGTAGCGGAAGGTCTGGCCGCTGACGCCGGCGTTTGATAACGTCCCTCCGACAGTTAGGCTTAAGTAATCGGTCCAGGACCTGGGGGTGAGGCCGAATTCCAGGCACCTCTTCAGCACGTCTTCCCATAATGCCCCTCCCGAGACATCCGCGTAATCGGAGCCGTTAATCCTGACGACTCGGAAACGGTCCTGGTGATCCAGTGAGCGCATGTCCAGGACCAGTCCACGATTGGCCATCGCCTGACCGTTGATTGAGTGGCCGTTGCCTCGCGCCGCCACGGTCAGATTAGGCGACCTCGAGGCGGCTTTCACCAACCTGGACACGTCGTCGGCGCCGGACGGCTTGACGAAGGCCAGGGGCTTTACGGAATGTATGCCGCCGAAGTCCTTGCCGGCCACGTCAGCAGAGCCGTATTCGACGCTGCCTTGGAGGTCGAGAGCATTGCAAATGCTCAAAACGTCGTCGTCGGGTCTCGATTCGGCGTCGTTTTCGTGGACGATTCGCCCGAGGTAAGCTATCATCTTGGTGAATTGGGCTGCTGAATTTCACCGCCGGCGGAGATTTTTGTCGTCGGAGAGTTTTTGTTTGTTTGGTGGCTTTGTTTGGGTAAGTAAGACCCGCACTCTCTTGCTTTTTTCCCTCGTTCACGGTTTGGAGTCTAGGCTTAAATAGCTGCCGATTTTCTTGTGGTTTTGGGTTTTGGTTATTATTTTAAGAAAATTAATTTTATTAATTAATTTATTTTTCTTTTAAGAAAAATGAAACAATTTTTATAATTGAGAAAATGATGACGTCGCTCTCACCCTGCCTTCAATATCCTGTTTGACGTTTTGATCCTATGGACATCCTCTGTCTGCCACTTCCATTCCACGTACGTGTACAGAGATACATTTATTTATTTATTTATTTATTTGAAAATTTCGCATTTTTTTTTGCTACGAAAATTTCGCATTTGTATATATACCAGAGGGTAGAGAGTGAGTGAGGGCAACCCGCTTAACTGCGGCACTGACCTCTTTCATAATCATTCCTTCGCTATTGTAGCAGTTTCACTATGTCTTGTTTAAATTCAATTAAATGTAGTAAAAGTTATTAAGATGCATGAACTTTGACAAATTTCGTTAGTAAATTTCCATATTCTATCCGTTGTGATTTTCAACAAAACAATATAAAAATCTAACTCATAAAGTTTTTTTTTTTTGTTATGAGCTTAATAAAATAGTTAATCAAAAAATGGAATGATTATTGACTTTCAATCTCTCTGCAACCTTTATCACATTTTTTTTTTTTTTTTTGGTTTTTCAAATGTTTTAGCCCATACAAAATTTGGTTATAGTTTTTTTTTTTTTTTTCAAAATCTGGCCGTTTGTACTTTATACTTATTTTTTTTTTTCAGTTGCTTCAAATTTCTTTCTTGTATTACTTTATTTTTTGTTTAGGCTGAAAAAAACTAATGCCAATAGAAATGTCAACCCTGATACCTCTTCAAATTAATAAAACTAGGGCCTCTCTGACGCTCTGAAAGGGTGTGGATTGGCCCGGTGAATAGTAGTACTTAGTGGCAAAGATTTGTAGGCAACAACTAAAAACCGCCCCTGAGTATGCGCCACTTAAAATAAGGTAGAAAAAAAAAAAGAAAGAAAAAAAGAAAAAAATGATATCTTGATTATCTTCCCTACGCAAGCGGCAATAAAACCATAGAAAAATAAGAACCCGTTCTAAACTAGCAATACCCAACTGCTTACGCACCATTAGTAAACTCAAATGTTTATTTTAGAGTAATATTATATTTGATTAATGTTGACATTGAAGTGTTTATACATATATATATATGTATGTATGTATGTATGTAATTTGTGTGTGTGTGTGTGAGTTTATAAATTATATAAGTCAACAATAACCCCATAACTTCCTTAAAAGATGCTTAACTAATAACTGACCATTTCATTCTCACTAACTCTAGCATATATATATATATATATGCATCTGTTTTTTCTTTGGAATATATACATATATACATATATGTTTATATACATATTATCCAACGATAATTATTGTATAACTACTTAATTAGACATAAGATACATTTAGGGTGCAGAACTTGATTTATCAAATCAATAACAACTGAAATTCCTTTCATTATAGACAAAAGAATGGTTGTTGAAATGGTTTTTATGTCATAACGAATCATTACCAAAAAAAAAAAAAAAAAAAAAAATTTACTACTGCGCCCTCTCTAGGTGCCTTTGATACCAGCTAGATGCATTTAACATTCTATTCCTAATTTCCTTCTCTTTTAATGATGATAAATTACTATTTGTCATAGCAAGATTCAAATCTCAAACATCACCAATTAATTAACAATATTCTTGTTCTATAGGCGCTGAAGCAAATCATTATATATAGTTTAATATTATATATATAAATATTGCAACGAGCACCATCTAGCGTGCAAGATTTTAAAAGTACTATGATTTCCAATACTTGAAAAATGTTGAGCTATATGCCGTCTTATAAATAAACTTTAAAGAAACACCATATAATATAATAATTGTTTATATTTTTATATTTGGCAACAAAAGTGCTTCACTAAAGGTCTACTCATGAGGACATATTTAAGTACTTTGTTTTATTCAGACGTTTGGGCATGCGACACGCGCGCCCACTAAATATAATTTTATTTTCTGTTGTTTTAGTTTGGTACATGTCCATATACTTAATTGTACTTGTAAGAACGATTATACGAGTTAATGGCGAAGCATTAGAGATCAGAAGCGGGCAAATTAAGAGCTATAAAGTCAACCATTAAATAAGAGATTACTTGTAAGATGATTAAGCAAACTATTAGTTGAAACCACAGTAGACATTGAAGCAAGCCACGTACATAAAGTCGTGTACCAAGCTAAATCTATAAATATAAATGTAACCAGGCGTGATTAGCCTCAAAGTCAAATATTATCTTATTTACTTTGTAAATTATAGTTTGAATTAATGTGTTATCAACGTTCAAACCGACCATTAAAGCACGCTAGAGTAGCCATTATATACTCAGTTTTCACTTTTTTTTTTAATCTTATAGTAAACGGGGCTATAATATCCCTAGATATATATCCTAACTACTCTCTAATAGTATTTTGAGAACTTTCTAAGTCCCCGTGACAAAAATTACAGTTCTTTGCCAAGTGCATTGAATCATGTTTGCTTGAATTTCTTTTTTAGAAAATAAATAAATACTTTTAAAGATTGAATGTTGCGCATATTTTTTTTTTACCAAAATAAAAAACGTGCATACTTTTATTTTCTGTAGGAATCTCTTTAAATTTTGACAACCCCTCCCGACGACCTAAAGGAGAGACAAACTCTTGACTAGCTTAATTTTTTTTTGAAAGAAAAAGTGTATTTAATTAGAAACTGATAAACAGTCATTTCAGTACAATGTTAATGACTCATTAGAAAGATAGACGCACGTTTGAGGTCTAAAAACTAGAGAACACCTCGATACGCTAACAACGAGCACACATGAAGCTCAAATTAAAGATACCCCTCCCATCGAGATAGACTTTCGAGCGCTGGAGGGATAGATCGCCAAACCCCACAAAGAGAGGACATCTATATGGACTATAAAAACTTCTAACCGGACCAAGACAACCCTATCAAGAGACACACAAACGGCCTTAAGCCGATCACCAAAATCTTCCAACAAATAGTAAATCAAATGAGGGTCGGGTGGGGAGACCACCATCCTCTTATTACAAACACAAAAATTACATTAAAAAAACAGAAAAAACCTTCAACCACCTCCATTAGAAGCCTCCGACAAAGAACAACTGACCAATGTACCGTCGAAGGAGATAGCCAACAAGAGATTTAAAAAAAAAGAGTCGAATATAATATATTATATAATGTTTTTTTTTTTTTTTTTTTTTGGCTCTTTGGAAGTATATGCAAGTATCCGAATCCGAAACAGGTAGATAGCACGTAATTCCTTAGTGATAAAAACAGCCAAAATATGTATTGTATGGCTACACATAGGATAATCAAAAGGCAAAAAGCGTTTGAGAATCCGAGGCATGGATAACACCTCTTTTTTAATTTTTATTTCTATTTCTTTCTTTTTTTCGTGATAAGTGGCATAGATAACGTTGAATCCGCCAAGTGCAAAGAGATGTGTAACTTTTTCCAATTCCGGAAAAAGAACAAGAAAAATAATATATTTTTCTTTTAACGTGGTAAAGTAAGAAAGAGAATGGTTGTTTACAGCTTGGAGAAAGAAAAGGGTTTTATGAATATTATTAATTTAGTAAGTCTTATCTAGTTATTATTATTGTATTTATGAGTCTTTAGATTTTCCCTCTTTTTAATCGATGGGCGATCATGAGATCTTTTCTTTCTAATTGTAAACTCCATTTCTCGTAAGCTGAATTATTAGACCTCCATTCGCATTGAGATTTGTAAATTGGCAGTTTTTTATTGGTATTTAACACGGTTTTTCTCTCTATTTGGATTTTATCTTTTTCTCTAATTGTTTAAGAAGTGGGCATCAAAAGGCCGGAGTCTGTCACCACCTTCGGGGCCCCATGGGAAGGTGCTCATATGTTGCAGGTGGTACTTTTTCAGTGAAACTCTAAATACGCCAAGCTATAGGAGGGACATACGGGCTATGGGAGCGACATACAGGCTTTGGGAAGGTTTTTTTTGGAGGGCTTCTAGCTGCCGACGCTGAGTTTTTCAGTGCAGCAGAGTGGCTGTGATTAGGTCTCCTCAATGTCCAGCTCTCCAAGGGGGTTGTTTTGCGTTTCGGCGGCCAAGAATGGTGATGGGAGTGGTGTGGTTGCAGCTTGGGGGCGGATGTGAGCGTTGACTTTGTGAAGAGTCCATTGGTGATCATTTGGGTACCTTTGTGTTTTGATTTATGTGTTTGTGAAATAAAAGTACCAGTGTCTTCGCCGTTTAGTAGGGTATATAGGGTGCTCTGTTGGGTTTTTGTTGTAATAATAGAGGTGGTCTCCACACCTTCCGGCGTTATCGTTTTGTTTTGTCCGCTTATCATGTGTCTATGTGGCGTTGTGTTAGGCCTTAGTGCTCTTGGTCTTCCGATATTGACCGATCGAAGTTATTCGATGGCTTTTGCGGCGTTTGTGGTGTGTTTCAAAGAGCCAATTTTATGCTCGATTAGGTGTGTACCTCTTTGATTTCTCTTTGTTGAAACTCGGTACATATGTTACCCCCTTGATCATTTCAGTCGAACCTATGTGGTCGGAGTTGAGTTGCTAGTTGCACTTGGATCTTTTATCTGAATTAGTGGTTGTAATTTTCTAATTTGGAATGCAATTCAATTTAAAAAAAATTGATAGCTTTATTTACTTATTTATTTATTTTTTAAGAGTTAGATCTATAATCCTATGGTTCAACAGGAATTCTCAATATGCAATTTATATTATTCCTAAAATATTTTTTAAAAAATCACGTAGCATGTAGAGTAATTATAGCTTTCTTTATTTGTTTCTCCGAAGGCTAGAATAAGGCTTGTTTTCATTGTTTTTGGGGCCTATTTCTTATAAATTTTAAAAATTCTTCAGCAGATATTGAAGACTTTTTGTACATCTTCTTTTTTTTTTTTCAGTAGATTCTAATTAAAATTATT